GGTCGCGCTGGCGGGGCCTCGAGGACCCGCGGTCCCCCCCTCCCCGCAACGCTCCTCGCGCCGCTCGCTGCTCCACCATGTGGGCGGCTGCGGGGAGCGGCCACAGCGCGTGCACAGTGCGGGCTGCGGGGGCCCCCGAGGCCAGGGGGTGTGTCCTAGGGGCCCCCAGAGGAAGAGGCCGGGGGTGGGCCCGCCCCGCACCCGTCTCCTGCTCGGAGTCGGGGCTCAGCCTCGCGCCGCACAAGCCCCGCGTGCAGCCATCACGGCGGAAACCCACCCGCACCTGCCCCGGGTCCTGCGGGCACCTCCCTCCTGCGTCCTTGGCTGCGGGAGCGACTAGAGGCCGGCACCCCCGGGACCCCTCTGCGCTTCCCTTGAACGGACCCGAGGACAGGCTCCCCCAAAGCGAGCTGCCCAGGGACTGCCACCTAACGAATAAACGCGGCGGCGACCGGGTCCTGAAAGGGGGCGCAGCCCCGCAAGGGCTGGAGGAAGGACTTTGAGATACGTGGACTTTTTAAAATAGTGAGTGGGGCACGTGTCGCCTTGAACGTGGTCGGGTTTCATGACTCAGGCTGAGTGATGTCAGGAACAGAAAGGTCGGGAATGTCAGATCGAGAGGCTGTGTGCTCCGGAGGCATCCAAAGAAAAGAAACTCTAATAGTAAAAGATTTCCGAGTTACATTGTAAAAGATTTCCGAGTTACATTGTGCATCCCATCGTTTGTAATTTTTTTTTTTTTTAAATTAAGACCTGAAAACAAGTCAAAAGCTCTCGTAATGGAAACCTAGTCTCTTCCTTCCCTATGTTTTCTCCCTACATCATTTGTTTTCAACTTGGAAATGTTTTTAGCTCCATTCGGGGAGTCGGTTATATAGAAGGGAAATAAACCTTTTTACTTAAGAAAATTATTCCTGTGGGGTTGTTTTTGCTTAACTGAAATTCAGCTTAATTTTTAAATAAAATGTTCCAGGTTTAGATGTTCTGGACATGGGCAAAGGAAGAAGTGTATTAGGATCTTTTAAAAGGAACTTGAATGTAGCACCTATCATTTAAAAATTGGGCACCGCATGCCAATAATGAAAATGTCAGTCTACTGATTTTTAAATATTTCTAAAGAGAGTTTGGTCTTGCTGCCTACAGATCCACTTTGCAGTTAAATGAAAAGGAAAATCAATATTATATTTTCACTACATTTGGTGTTTAGAATGTTGAAGGACACACTTGTAAATTTAGAAGTTTAGAGCTGACTTTTAAAAGACGAATGCTAATATAAAAATCTTTAAATACTACACAATATATTTTTAATATTAGTAATAAAACTCCCATTCAGTTGTCCCTAAGGACATGAGATGCGTAAATAAAGAGAAACGCTTAGCTATTTCCATTGTAGGGTGTGTGTGTTTTTAACCAAAATTACTTTTCATTTGTATGTTTTCTAAATGTCCGTGTTTTCCTAAAGTGGTAGGAAATAGATAAGATTGAGCTACTTTAGGCAGTGACGTTAGATACTTATTACATACAGCTTAATATTTAGGGGGGGATCAAAATGTAGTTTGCCTTTCAGCTTTAGCTCGATCACATGGACAAAGAAGGTGATTTTTCTTTTTTTCAATGATTACACTCTACAAACTTATTTTTTTCACCCTTGGCAATAAAATCATGCCGTAAGACAGTTACTGACGTCTTCCCTTTACAGCCACACTGACAATGCATTAAATTTGTTGTTTCTACACAACTTTCCCTAGGTAGCTTATAAATTTCCCTTCTTTTGGAGTAGAAACTAGTTGCTGATTTTCATTTTTTTAAATGAAAAAATGTTTACTCGAAAGCAGCTTCATGTGAAATTATTCTGCTAAATGTACCAGACTCCCCCCCCCCAAAGGTAATATACACACGTGAAAATATGAGGCACAGCACAAGTGACAGCTGACAGGTATTAGTAGTGATACAATATAGGGTCTTCCAGTCCCAGGAAGGAAGGTTATTCAGCAGCAAACGTGAACCAGCCACAGCCACACAGAGCAGGGGCACATCTTTGAAACGCCACATTAAGAAAAGAAAAATTAAGTTCTGAAAAATGACACCGTTTGGGGAAAGCTCTTAAAAGCGAGGACACCAAAATTATGTGGCAAAATTTTTAAAGCAGGAGAATGGACTACATGGGAAAATATTTCTTGCTTTGTATTGTTTTAGCAAGAGGATTGATAAAAGAGCACAAGACCCAGGATCCCGGGCGCCTCTGGGAGGGGATGGCGGGGAGCCCAGGGGCAGTGGTGTTTTCTTAGAAATAGGTATATTCTCGGCCCCGGTGGTAGACTTACAGTTTCCTTTCTATGGCTATGCTTTATAACCAACACACATGTTATACATATTTTGTAGGTGTAATAATATTAAAGAAGATAATAAAAAAATATATGGAGGAAAGCCACGAGCGAGATCACCCCAGTTTTCCAAAATGATCCTTCCAGATTCCAAGCTGTTAGCATAAGCAATGCACAAGGACCACGGAAACCATACAGTGAAGGTCTCATCCCTCAGGATATGCTTCAGGGGGGTGTGTGCCCAAACCCGATCGGTGCAATTCCAGACAAAAACAAATCACAAAACAAACAAAAACAAACAAAAGTAAAACAATTCGCTTCATAGGTCCTCGAGGTCACTAAAAAAGAAGGCATTATGTAAACCATGTGGCAGTTCCCTAAAAGGTTAAACAGACACCTTATTGAAACACAGGACCCAGCAATGCTTCGCCTTGCGATTTATAAAAGACATGAATGTATATCCACAAAAAGACCTGTATGGAAATGTTGATAGTTGCTTTACTTAAAATAGCAAAAGTAACTGGAAACAACCCAAATATATCAAAAGGAGAATGGATAAACAAATCGTGATATATTCATCCCACACAATACTGTTTAACAATGAAAAGGGCCCTGGCC